TGTTGGGTGGGGGGGGGGGGCCCCCCCCCCCCCCCCCCCCCCGCGCCATCCGAGAGCTCACGAGTTACGCAAATGGGTCCGGTTTATTTTAATATGATATGCCATAATTGGACTTTATGGGACAATACATGAAACACTACACAGTTTCTGATATACAAACTGCAATACATTATTCAGCATCGGAAGAGCTTTCCAACGATACCAAACAGGACTACTTTTTGGTGAGTTTATATACTTATTCTTATTTTATACACATTTTAAGTATATTTTGCGGATATTTTAAAACAAATAAACACCTATTTTTTAATTATGTTCCTGGCATGAGTGACAGTAGTTTTTATATGTCTGGTTTGTTGCCTGTATAGAAATTATGATTTTAGACACCAACATCATATCTGTAGCTTATTTAGTTCCAATTATATGCACATTTTAGATAAATTTGGTGGCCATTTTGAAAAATGGCCGCCATTTGTATACCAGGTGAAAAATCAAGTGTCAACAGGGCTTAGGGTGACCAGGACGGATTAATTAGGATATCCGGCTATATTGACTACTTCTAACATTCCACTCCCCCTAACTTGATTTCTAGGCCTCTTTTTTGATTTTTTTCCTAGTCTACTTTACCATATAACCATGTTTCTTCACCCTTAATAATAGGATGTTATGAATTTCTGTATAAATTAAATTTAAATATTTTAATAGTGAAGTGGAGATAAATTACGTATTTGAGTTTTTTCTTCTCTACTTCAAGTTTTAGGGATAACTTCATCAAACGATTTAGCTGCTGCCCTATTGCTCACTTCTTATCTGCGCTTATAAACCATGTGCATAATTTTTGTTTATGTTATAACGTAATTAATTTGCTTTTTATATATATATATATTTTAATTATTTAATTGTTATTTTCAAACCATTCTAATACCAGTACCTTTGTGCTTTTATCGGGGGGAAATCTCCCTTATTATTACATATATGTATCAGAGATGCAACAGCACAATGAGTTTTGGAATCCTTTGAATGAAGCTATGGAAAATGCTCTTTAAAACCATTCAAAAGCAGTTAATATATCCATGGTTACTTGCCCATAGTGGATGATGAAGCTGTCATCATTGAACACAGCTAAGTATGAGTTGATTCAATTCTGGATAACTGCTTCGTCCCAAGGACCATGTATATTACTGAAAAAAAATAATTCAAAACCAGTCATCTAATTTTTTAAAGATTTGTTGTGAAGTCTACACTTCATTCAGTCAAAACTGACAGTAACCACTGTATGTGATGAAAATGTAACCTTTTGTGTACCTGATTTTATACAAACATACAAAAAATAAAATTCCTGTATTTTTTTTTCTATTATTCTTACATTGGCTTGTACTAAATTTTTGTAGAAAAGTGAAAACTGGTCTGTTTTTCATTAGAGGTTAATAACTCATTCTAAATGTGCATTTTAGTGATTTGATTGAAGTTTCAATTTTTTTCCCAGATTTTATGACATAAAACCTTTACAAAGCTTTAGTTATCATGCGGTAACATTGGCTTTACTATTACCGCCAACACAACAAACAAACAAACAACACTAACTACTGATGAAACAAACACTAACTACTGATGAAACAAACACTAACTACTGATGAAAACAATAATGACCCCAGGTAATAATTGCCAATAATTATTTTTAAAGCTGCCACAGAGCTATGCTCCTTTTGGGAAGCTATTCAGATTACTCATATATATCCCAGTGCACAAACTCTGTCCAGATCAAACTTTGACAAAAAAATACAGTTGTATGCCCATATATAGACATGAAGTCATTATGTGATGTCATCATGACCATATATAGGCATGCCACATGTTTTTGCCAAATAAAATTTAATAACCTGGACAGGGCTTCATCAATCAAAGAATTGTCAAACACAAAATCTGGACTCTCACTCACAAACATTTTCCATCTAATACACTTACTTTTTCGAAGGCTGAAGTCTTATCAGCCAAAATGGAACCAGGAATGTGATAGCAAATGATATTAGCGAAAACAAAATGGCTGCCATGGGGCTCACAGAATACAAAGCTATTGTTGCTATGGTAACACTAAACAAAGTCATGACTGCATGTGCACTATGGACATTGCTATTCTGTGAAAGATATAAATGAGAATACATGTTTTTAAATTCATAAATATTATTTCTTATGTTTTTTAAATAATAACATTTTTTTAAATTTAATGTTCTTTGGTGCCAGCCTGTGACTACAATACTAAAACTTTTCCTGATGAAGTATCTGATCATTGCCTAAATTCTATCCAATACAGAAAGCCACATCATTTGTTTGATCAGGTGTGCCTTCAACAAAAATACACATTATTCTAATAAAACTGGTGAGCCTGACAGATAAAAATCTGAATGTGTACATGCTTTATTTCTTTTCAATGAGTTACAGTCAAACTTTGCTTTAGCTGCACCTGAACAAAATATGTTATATTGTAGGCCTATCTATTGCAAATCATGTTAATTTTAGTACAAACTAAAACGTTTTCCAAGGAAAATGATGGAGAGATATTTTCCCATACCAATTAACACTATTGCTGTTTCATCTCATTTTAGTGTTTTTATGTTATAAAAAATTATATAAAACTGCTTTCAAAACCATGCAACCTATCTTCCTTTAGTGATCATACTGTTATTTTAAGGGGTAGCTGGCTCATCTAGTTATAGCAATGTACTTCCATTAAGCTACCTCTGTCCAGCATTTTAATTTTATTTTTTTTCACACATTGCAATTTATTGTCACTGTGAATGTTGGTAGAATAAGTAAATGAAATTCTTTTTCTCGAAACTAATCGCAACATTCAAATACTGGAGGGTAGGTGTGCGAAGCAAGTGCAAACTCTAATTTCTTTAATTGACTGTAGTGAGTGCAGTAAATTGACTTTTCAACCATTTTGTAATAGTCATTGTATACTAGTGTTTAAAGAACTTAACTTCTTTATATTTAAATATAGTTAGCATGGAATAAACAATAGGACATTGTGGAAAATGTTAACTGACCTTCAATGTTTTACGTAGGACAGGCCAAAGTGCAAAGACCAGGAGTGCTAAGGTAACAGTGGCAAAGGCATGGAGACTTGTTGGCAACCTAGAAGCTAGGCATACTGATGCAAATACTGAAGCATTCAGTGAAAGTGATCTTGATGATCTGGTTGGGAAAAAGTTAACAAAAATCATTTTTTATTTAATCAATCAATTGTTAATGATAATTAATATAACACTGCAACCATTTTCAGGATTGTAGCTGTAGAAAACTATGAGTGGGTGGTAGACATTTTGAAGACAGGTGGTAGTAAAATTGGTAAAATAATGATGGGCAAGGGGGTTAATATAGGTGAAAAAGGATGAAAAACTTCAAGGCTGCGTGGCCTCGCCCACCGTTACTAAATCCCTGCATTTAAAGAGAAGACGTATCATACAAAAAATATGATTAATAGGTTTTAAATTTTGATAACAACAGAAAGAAATAAGAAGAGAAATACTTACATTGCCTGACTAACACCATAATCATGAAATAGTACATTGCCTAGCAACATAAACACCTGAAAGAGAAATAATGTATCTTAAAAGTCATCAAACTATGATGGTTGAATCATTATTAGATTTTAAACCATTAACATTACTGGATATTAATACTGTACTCTCATACTAACAATAGATCAAAGCATGGACCTATTAATAAGAAGGACATACAACGTAGTATTGCCCTTTGATCAATGTTCTTTTCCGACAAGATAAGAGAGGGGTATATTTATCGGAATAAACTATGAAAAGATAAGCTCGGTACCGTTATTTCTTACGTTATTGCCCTGTCTCTTATACACATCTAGATGTGTATAAGAGACAGTCCACTGCTTGATCGAGAGATACACATACACACACACACTAAACTGTTGAAAATACCAGGTCCATGAAAATACGAATATAGTATGGACGATTTAGATTTTTGCGTCAACGATGCAGAGATCGATAATAGAAACGCAAACAGAAGTCAGAGGATAAAATGATTGCATGTGGTGGTCCAAACTGTACTTGGGCCTAGGCCTAGTAATACGTGGTACCACTACTTCAACTGCATAGGCTTGCTTGACACCAAAATGAAATAGCCTTCCTAGCGATGGTCTGGGCTTGTAAACGGTGCGTAGTAGCTGCTTCAGCATGAGCGGGTGACAGCAACCTACAGGGACCTAGCTGAGAGAAACAGACGGGTTCCGTACCGTCTGTTAAAAAAGGTACCCTGTATTTTTTTAAATTTTGCCTAATATGGGCTAAAACATGGACCTGTAGTATTAATAATTTTGGTAGGCCCCCTAT